TGTCTTTCCCCCTTGAAAAAGAGAGTTGAAAATATATAACTCTATGTACATAGAACTGGGAAGAGACTGGAAATATTTCACAACTTCTAATTTCTGGACAGTGCAGTCCAACAGCTGGTCTGAGGACTGATCCAGCCCACAGTCAGCTTTTGTCTGACTGGCTGCCATCTCACAGTGGATTAAGAGAAAAGATGCAAAACCATGCAAAACCATAGATGTTTTCTTCACAGCCAAAATCATTAGTAGGTATGAATCTCCTTACAAGGAACATTTGTTTGTTTTTGCACTAGAATCTGTCACATAAATACCTCATCTGTATGAGTCCAGTCTCACTTTAGAGTCTTGAATATCGGGCTTTCCCATGAAGGAGATCCCACAGTATAATATATTCATTAGTTGCAAACATTTTCTTCTACAAAACACAATCCAAGCAATTAGCTTACAGATATCCCTGTATGACATAGCAACACAATACATTTGTAGGTATGAACTTTTCCTTTCCTATCATATCACAGCAGTAAATGTTCTCATTAAATATTGCACAAAGTAGGAACAGAACTAGAGGAGAAGTAGGGAAAACCAGATATTTGCTAGAGGCAAATTATCTCACACTCAACCTGTACCTCAACATAGAAGAGCTAAAGATGTTATCTGTATAGTCTTGAGTGTCAGCTATTTACTTATTTTTCTGACTTACTGGTTGGTTTTATAGGCATACACGCTATCAGAATGAAATTAGTCCCACACATGCTTTAAAAAAAAAAAAAAAATGCAAGGTAGAGAAAGAAAATAAATATTTCTTGAATGTGTACACAAATACAGGAAAATGCTCCATAGGCAACTATCTGTAATAGTTTCCAACATATAAAGAGAAAGAAAAAACTAAAACACAGCAATCCATATCTATTGCAACCACTGGAATGGAGTCTGAAATGAAAATCTTTTTAAAAGAACTAGGCAGCTTTATTCAGAAGTTTAAAATAATCTGTTTACTAAAGAATCTGGCATACTACATTCAAATGTATTTTCTTCTTATTTCATTTGTCTTCAAGATTTCATTTACATTTAATTTTATCATACAAAGGGTATAAAATATATACCTAAATAGAAGCATCATGATGTGTCATAGACACAGCAATTTAGAAATTGAGAGGACCGTCTGGATAGGATCAAAGAGATCTGGCTTCCAGATCAGATTTAAGCAAGCAATGAAATCTAGTCATATAATGTCTAATGAGTTCTCTTTCCTTCTGTAGTTGGATATTGAAATCTCAGAAATAATTCCTCAGAAAGAGAAATGTCATGCTGAGTGTTGGCATTTTCTGATACAATGATGTCACTGCTTGATGGATTTTTCTTGGCAGGCATGAATTACTTTGTGCATCATAACAAATTGGAGCATTCAAAATTTCTGGTATACTACATTCAACTGTGTTTTCTTCTTATAGTATATGTTCTTTTCTTCAAATTTGATATACGTCTCAAAATAAATCATAAATCTATGTAAAATATGACCATGGTTTATACTAACAGAGAAAGAAAATAAGGAAAAGAACAAAACATTTAAAAAAAAATCTGTTTTATTTCTGTATCTTTCCAAAGTACTCATGATCACAAATATATCAGCCAGGCCAGTTTCCTTTGATGGCAAGTACAATTTGCAAAGTGCTACAGCTCCATGGCTATTCTTCTATGATAGAAACCAACTGGGCTGAGCAAGACCCACTGCCACCAGATCCAGATTCATATACAAGCATGGCACATTCTGACAATACTGGGGTGAGGAGTGGAAATGCAACAATCTTTTTTTGCATGTGGACTCCTGTGCAAAAGAAATGCACATGCTCAGGTAGAAACCACAGCATTCTCAGAATTAGCTGGTGATATAGCTGATCAGTAATATATTACATGTTTATGTCACTCCAAAAGTAATGTCTCCTCTTCATTTCTGTGGAAACTACAGTAAATAGCAAGAAAAAATAACACTATTTGATTGACCAAATTCTCAGCTAGAAGGCACTGTTTTTCAGTATAGTCACCACCATTATATGATCTGTGTGGATGGGCTGATCTATATGATCTTAATTCAGTGGTATGACAGATGTGCATGGCTCCTTGGACGTGTATTGTTTCTCACATCACTGTCACCACTGTTGAAACACACCACCCACCTTCTCACTACCACTATCCATATTGAAATCTCCATTAACTCAAACAGGTAGCCTTAGTTCTTGCATCAGCATTGGTAAACAGTCTACAGATATGACTGTGCTGATAATCACAATGCTATATGCACATCAATAAAATTACTATTACAAAGCAGAGAGATTTCTTTTATAAGGTCTTCATGAGTGATTGTATGGAATAAATGGAAAATGATCTGATATCAAAATGAATTCAAGCCCAAAATCTTCCACATGGACTAAGATTTCTTCTGGTGAAATATAGGAGGATGCTGGAAAATAGGGGAAAGGAAATCTAGAACTGAGAATTTTAAATGGAATATGAAAAGCAAAGTAGTTTTAGAGCCAGTAACAGCAGGAGGATCAATTTCAGAAATAAAATTACCCAACATCCAAGCAGTACAGAGTTGATGATACTTGCAAACTGAACTATAAAGACAGAAGAGGAGGTGAGTCTTGATGGTCTTCTGGATAAATGTATCATTTTTATTTTTATCCTTTTCTCGAACTGTGTCCACATGAGATGTTTTCATAAAAGAACAAAATAATCCATTTCTCCATGCCCTTCCAAGGTTAAAGTAGCCAGCTTTCCAGAGTTCCTGGTAAATGTCATGTCTGTAACCTTCTGGATAAATAGACTAAGTGAGGAGTTCTAAGAGGCCAAAATAGATACAGCTACAAATGAGTATGTGGTGAGGCACAAAAATTAAGCTTTCTTATTTTGGTGCAAAACTCTGACTGAATTCATATAAATGTTCTGCAAATGTCATGAATAGTGGTTCTTGTACTTAACTGATCATTAAATATGCAACTGCAAATTCAAAGCCTAAATTCAATTGCTGAATTGAAATAAAGAGGAAATTTAATTTTATATTAAGGAACAAGTTCAGTGCAGCCTTGACTGTAGAGCTGCCCTCAATTTATTCATATTTCAGTAAGTGCATATAAACTATTTAAATACTTTCTGATTACCAACTTGCATACATGGGCTTCTATTTCAAAGGAATTTGGGGTTTTCCTTTAACAAGGAAATTTGGAAATAAAATTGGAACAGTAAGAAAGCCCTACTAGGATCAAAGCATTAAGCATTCTCTGTGTCTCTTCAATTACTGTTAATAGCTTGATCTTCTGCAGTCACAGAACAGACTGGATAATTACCTGCTTTGTGGAGTACTTCCAATATGTTACCAAACCATATTGTTAACAAACTTGGGCACTTATAAGCCTCAAAAGATGGGTTTCAGAAAATATGACATTAGCAATAAGACCACTTCATTATAGCAGCAATATTTGCAACAACCAAAGGGAAATTCCAAAATGTAATAGAACAAATCATTTTCAAGGGCTGGTCTGACTGCATATTTAAAGACTGCATGATTTCCGATAAAGTAAACCCTCCCTTTACTTGTCATCCAACAATCTGTATCTTTAAAAACTTGATTGAATTAAAAAATAAATTAGAATTTATTTGGACTCATGTTATGTAAAAAAGAATGTATGTTTAATCTGCATTTTAACGTCTTTACATTACGCCTAATACATTTCTGGTGTATTTGCAGATCAATATTATGGAAGTAGGAATAAAAGAGTTCAGTTGTATCTTATTTTAAGATGTGTGTGATTTCTTAACAGAATATTGACATAATTCAATCAGTATGGATCTAAGTAGCGGAGCCTAAACATATAGACTTGTTTTTTGAAAGAAAAGAGATTTCTGTGACACTTTAGACAAAATGTAGTTCTTGTTTCTAGATGTGAAGCTGGTTTAAAAGGCTAAGTAGTTAAATAGCTGCTTTCCAAATCTTAATCCTGATATTTCAGCAAAGGTTATTTTACCATGAGACCTCACAACACTCTAAGGTAAGTAGCTACTGCAAAAGATATTATAATATCTATTTAATTAGAGAAAGGATATTTTTCCATTGTATTAGACGTTATTGCAGTAATCAGGCTAAGCTATGTTCTGATAGTTTAGCAGTGAAAAAGATATACAAGAAGTAAATGGAACACTCTGGTTATGTCACTGTTCCTCACAACAGTACAAACAGCCCTGGCATTTTCCAAAAAGGTGGTTGTATCTTTTGGAAAAGAAAGGATTTCTCTAAATATTCAAAAATACATATTGAGATCAGGCTGAGTTGTTCAGTGCAGTTCCAAAGGCAGAAATGACCTACTTGTACAATAAGAAATATCGAGAGATCCAATTACTGCATGGTAAGGAAAGTTTTTTCTCACCTCTGGGATATACTAGAGAGATCATCACAGATGGAAGAACTCAGCTGAAGTAGTGTAAATAAGCAGAGTTTGAACAGCTTTGATTGGAAACTTCCTATGAAATTATTGGATCTGTAGTACTTTGAAAATCAATATTGTCAATGTTGACATCATACCAGCATTTGTTATTTTATGTCTACATTTTCCTGGATATTACTGGTATGTGCTCACAGACAGAGGAATAAATTCAAGGCCTTTTTTATTTCTTTGGAAATATCCATTTTGATAGTTGTTACTTTGTCCAAAAGGAAAAATTTAAATAACAGGTTTTGTTGAGGAACTCAATGACTTTTTTTTTTTAGCTTCCTTTCTTTCTACAGCCACACTCACTGTCACACTTCTGTTGAATGATCATTAGAGGCTGCTTCCTGTTAGTCTATGCATCTCTCAAAATGGTAAGCATGTGGGAGCCTGAAGCTAATTGAAAGATATGAATCCAATTGTTTAGGCTAAGATATCTGAACTATCAACTGCTCCTTTGACCTTCCAGCTTCTACCAAACTTTTTGAGTCTTTTGATGCTTATTTTGTGTTTACCCTACAGGGCTCTATGAATACTATCCAACCAATGCAGAACCAGAATGCTGTGATGTCAGATGGGGACTATTATCAGATCATCAATCCAAAGGGACTATAAAAACAGGTGGCTCAACAATGTGTCATAGGACATCGCTCACAGTTTCATCAGCATCAAGACTGTGTAACAGCAGACTTAAACTGTGTGTTCTTGTATTAATTCTATTACATACAGTACTAACAGTCTCAGCAGCACAGAACTCAACAGGACTGGGCTTTGGAGGCATAACAACTTTGGAAGATAATTCAACCAATGAGGAATGAAAAAAAGGATTCATCTTATATGACAGAAACACAAGAGCCCAAGTGACTACAGTCAAATACAGAAATGACTGAGTGCTTTATCCTCAGATATCTTCTTCAATGATCTTTTGGGTAAAAGGAAAAGAATGGGCCACTACCCAAACAAGAAGAACACAAGAACACAGCTTTTTATTGACTAAAAGGCTGTATGGTGACTTAAATTTCTCACACCATTTTATACACTGTGTTTTAATGTTTGGAGTTTCTTTTTTTGTTTGTTTTTTGCACTTGTTAATACAGGATTTTATTTTTGGGACAGTTTCTCAAAGCTAAATTAAGTCTTTTCTCTGTCGATATATTTCTAGTCATTGTGTGTGTTCATCTGATAGTTCTGTCTTTTATGTCCTGTCAGTTTCTATTAGAGGAATGACTGCTATGATTCCATGGCATAGTAAAAAGAATTAAAAAAAAAAAATTAAAAAAAAAAGAAAAAAAAGAAAAAAAGAGAAAAAAAAGATCAAAAAAAAGAAAAAAAGAAAAAAAGAAAAAAAAAAAGGAAAAAATACACAAAAAGGAAAAAGAAAACAAAATAATGATTAAAAAAAAAAACATACAAAAAAAAAAAGAAAAAGAAAAAAAGAGAGAAAAAAAAAACCAAATCTAACTGTCCTCTTACCCATTGGGAACCATTCATCTCCTTTCCCCTCCTCATGTCAGACAAATACACTTGCCTCTGTCTGTGTAATCACAATGAATGGGTACACAATTCCAGTGTGCCTCTGCCACTGTTGCACAAACGTGTTGACTGAGCAAAGTCAAAAGGAGCATGAAAGGGGTTCCTTTTAGCTGAACAAATAAGTGCTCTCCTTACAAGGTGGGATCGGACAGTTAAAAAATAAAAAGAAATATATAACAAACTGTTGCTCCAATACCCGTTTTGAAAAGTCCAGTCCTTTCTCACTGGTCAGTTGAACAGGAGCAGCCTTTTTTAAATGTGCTATGTAAAACCAGTTATGCTCAGCAAGTTGAATAGTTGGGAAGCCTTCATATTGGAGGTGAAGGATTGGCATTCATTGTGAATTACGTTTTGAGTTCTCCTGCTCCACATAACCAGCAGCTTTCCACAGGGAATGGGAGCAAAGAGCTTCCAAATTCCAAGTCTTTTTGTCTCAACAAAATTACGCTACAAACCTTTGAGCATCTTCAACACAAAGTATCTTTTTGATTATTATCCATTGTTTTTCTAATATCTATATGCTGTTGAAAGTTACTCTAGTTATTAAGGGTGCACAAGAATGTGTTAGCACAGATAAAGAAACTATTTTGTTTTAAGTATATAGGACAAACCATTTTCATAAATGTGCAATAAAACAGTAAAGATATACTAGGATATGAGTAGTCAAGAGAAAAGATTGTAATCTGATTGCTGTTTTTTCATTGTTTGGGGTATCTTATAATTTATTTACTTTTATTTTTGTGGGAACATTTCACCTGCTGAGTGTATGAGAATTTGCTTTTTAAAAAGGCTTTTTAGAGTTTACAGTAGAATCAATGGAAGGAAAAGTTAATAAGGGCTGTTTTTAAAAACTTTACATTCCTTCCTATTCTCTAACTACACTTAGGAAGTGCACTTTAGAGATGTTTGCTGTGTAGCTGGGAGATGAAGGAAGACTATAGGAAATGTTCTCTTAGGAAATAAATTATAGTTATCTACTTTCTAGCTATGAAGTACCCCTTGATAAATATTAATGTTGTAAGAGCATTTAATCACTGGTGCATAATGTGTTTTTGTATACATTTTATGGTCTGTTAAATTCTGGAGGAAAAAAAGAGATGAAATCCATGCTGTTTAAGCAAGTCAAGATGCATACACTAAGTTGCAAAGGCTCAAATATTTTGCAAGAATATTTGTTCTGATAGTGTTTTACTTCAACACACACTGAGGAGCCTAAAATGTGCATATTTGTGAAAATATGACAACAGAAAGCACCAGCTAATGCAAAAGTATTCAGCACTGGTTTCTTTCTATATCTTCTCCCTTCCCTTCCTTACACATGCTATATTTTGTTCAATAAAACACAGTGCTTTTTAGTTATTTCAGTTTCTGTTAGCGGCACATGTATTTATTATATTGAATTAATGCAAAAAGAGAGAAAAATGCAGAAATGTAAGTGAAAAAGCCTTAAATAATGGTAGAATGTAGACTTTTGAAAGGATAGAGATGTAATTGAAAAGTGATGGAGCAATAACTGGGCAGTGTTCCGGTACTGTACAACTGCTGATGAGTCACACTACTGAGAAAGCTCTTACTAGGTGAGCTCTTGTTCAACTGACCTCTTAATTCAAGTGTACACGGTCAGTAAACAGTTTGTTATAACCTTTATCTACCTCTGCTGTGCAAAGGCCATCCAGCATCCATTTCTGTGATGTTCCTCTCATACTTTTTTTTTGTTCATGCCATTACTCACTGTCATCTTTTTTCGCACTGTACCAGTATACTAGCAAGTCTGGATCATCCCAATTTAACTGGCACATGAGGAAGAGTTATTATTTCTTTATTTCTGTTTTGCCTCATGATGAATTAATGTAGAGTTATTTTTAAGGCATTTTCTTTCCTCTTCCTGCTCTTCTTCATCCTTCATCCCTTATTTTTTCTATAAAAATGTTTTCAAGTGGTATCAGTGAAAAATATGACTACTTCACTGCTTGGCTACACTCAGTCATGCGTCATACAATATGAGATATACGAGTGAAAACAGTGACAACATTATTACATTCATAAAGTAGCCAATTTAGAGTTGAGCAAGGGAAAAAAAAAAAAACAGGAAGTAATTTCGGACTTCCAATTATTACATATAATATGTAATAAGCTCCTCCCCCTCTCCCCATCTGGAGTCAGTGCCTGCATTTCAATGGTCTGTAAATCTTCTCTGTCATCTTTCTGAAGTTTGTTTCTTTAATTTTTGAAACAAAGAGTCATATTGCAGAGGTGACTTGCTGGGGTTTATGTTGTCATTTTCACTCCAGCAGTGCGGTATACAGCTTCTCTTGGTGGCACCTGGGACATCAGGAGTATACAAAGACTCTTCTATGAAGTTAAGCAACATGTAATCATGTATGATGCAGAATTTCATTCCATCCATTCCTCATTCGTACTAGTTTCCCTGGCACAATCTTAAGCATGCTCAATATTGTGCACATATTACTTTTTTTTCCAGAATAAATTTGCATCTTGCCACTGCTATAACTGCCATCTTGTTCCATTTCTCCTTGTACTGTATGCCTGATACATACATGATAAAGAACTGGCTTAACAAGCAAGTAATGCTAAAATATTTCTGCAAATGATTGATGAGAAGAAAAAGAAAAAATATAGAATAATATTTATTTTATAATCATATGGAGAAGATATATTTCCCATGTATTTTATCATCTTATTTTCTGCAATAGGGAAAATCCAGATTCTGTGCAATATGTTAATACTGCTAAGCCAAATGTCATATAACATAACCAGAGCTATATGTTATTCCTTATTGCATTTGCATTTGGTAATACATTATACTGACATTTTTCTTTCATTAAGGAGACAGTATCTTTTTTTTCTTTTTTTTCTTTTTTTTTTCTTTTTTTTAAATATAGCAGATGAAGGCTGTCCTTCTGCACACCGTATTTTAAAGACAAAAAGAAAAAGAATTATGATGATGTGTTAGTTCTATAAATGACAAAACCAAGCCATCAGCTGCCAAAGAATCTGTGGAACAGTAGATACAAACCAAACATAGGCTTTCAAGAAATTCTTTCTTGAGGGTTATAAAAATTTTTACTGTAAATGATTAAAAGAGAAAGAATGAGAGCTGTGTATCAAATAGCAGAAATGGCAGGTTTCATCTGGTATGTGATGTGGCTCCTAGCTTACATAGTTATACTCTTCTATTAAAAAGTGAGGGATAAGGACATTGTCTTCTGCTCTCTCTGTATTTGTTATGATAATGTCCTTTTTGTAAGCATTGCCTCCCCACACAGACAATATGCTTATCACGAGAGCTGAAGATATGTACACACACACAAATTTACACAATGAAACTTGTCTTAGGTGACTACTGAAAGCACAAGCAAAACTCATCTGCCAAGTAGAGGTAGCTTACATTGAAACTATTATATCATAGGGAATTTTAAGATACATTTGAAAAGTCACCTAAAGAAAAACATCTCTGAGGGGGCCTGGTTCTTACTGCAGTTTTTGCTTACGTGTCATTGGAGCCAAGGCTCTCTGATCTGCTCTGTGCTGGCAGGCTAGTAGCCAGACTCAGAGTTAAGATGGCTTCAGTGAGCCTACCTACAGGTACAAACCTGCACCATAAAAAAGTTCACTGTAGCACATAGGTCTACATTTGTTGTCCCATAGTTTTTGCTCAGGAATTGTTCACAGACATAGTGCACCAAAAAGGGATCACTGGGTTCAGCCCTATCATAGTCTGGGTAAGAGACTGGCAATGGTACATTGGGAATGGTTCTGATACATTATCATTGTCTTCATTGTCTACTGTTTTATTAGTTTTGTGAATGGGTGGCTTCAAAATTTTGCTGGGAATACATAGGACAAGCTAACAAATCTCATCAATGCAAAATTAAATAACCCTTCTGGTGTAAAGAGAGATTCCATCATGTGTCAGCAGCGGTCAGAAAACAACATTATTTTAGAAAAGTTTGCAAAAAATAAGAATTTCAGCTCTGAGTAAGATAGATTTCTTAAAAATTATATTTTTGGAGTCAAATAGAAATGTAGTGCATATCATATCAGATATTTAATTTCCCAACATATTCTCCAACAACTCTTAGCAATCATATTTACTGAACACTTCTAATTTTTCCAGCATTTTTTTGCAATCATTAACAAGTTCTATCTGTCCCTGGAGGGAGCAGAAAGGAGGGAGAATAACTGTGGGAGATGAAACTAAAATTAAAAACAGAAATAGAGTTGGGCCAACTTGGAAAATCCATCTTCTTCAAAATATGAAAGA